ACATTCTACAATTCTATATACAGGAACACAAATAGTGCATGTGTATATGGGATATATACATATTGATATGTCTTCTCCCATCTTTCTCTTCTACAGCAAAAGCAAAAGCAGCTCCTTTCTCCAAAGCAAGAGACCTTTGTTTAGAGGAAATGGAGCAGACTTAGCAGTCTGGCTAAGTCTCAGGCACTTGTGTAAAATTACACAGATGCTACACAAAAAAATCTTTAAGGAAAATAAAATATTTGCAATTAAGTAATGGATTACACTTGTATAAAAACAGAATACTCAAAACAAACCCTAAAAAACATATCAAAGTACATCTAATTTATTCATAGCATCCGAGGAAAGCTGCAATTACTATACAGAAAAACAAAAAAATCCAGGTTCCTTGGAAGCTGACTGCTAAAATCATTAAGGCTTCCTGGAATAACAACATATTCCCTTGTGCTTTAGCTAGACCTGTCAACAACAGGAGCCCTGAGGAATCTCCCATGCTTGCTGGTTACCACTCGTCTTCAGGGTGCTTACATCATGTCGCAATGCTCATCCCTAAGCCAAGAACAGCTGGCGGTACTTCCTCTGGAGCCCACCAGGACTGCTCCTGAAACGACCCCACAGCTGCAGGGGGCAGATGGGCAGCTGCATGAGGTAGCTGTCTTGGGCATATGGGCCTCTCCTTGGGACATGGTTATCCCTCTGTCTCCTTCTCCCTGTTGGATATGTTCACTTCTTCTTTGTCTTAATGCACTCTCTCCTTCTAAACGTCCTCTGTCTCTCATTTACCATCTTTGCTCATGTATCTGACATCTCCATTTACTTCCACTTCCCTCTCATCCACAGCCACCCAAGCCAATCACCTCCCCTGTGGAGGGAGGGAATGGATCAGGCCCAGCAAGATACTTGCACATTGCAGAACATGCACACAGCCAGGGAAACAGTTGAAACATGAGATAATTCACAAAAATCAAACACTTGAGGGCTCTGTGTCAGCACAGTTGGCCTAGACCTGACTGAGTGTTTGCATTTACACTTGCAGAGCTGTTTCAACACACCTGGGTGATGACCTCTTTGTAATGCTATGCATTTCTTATAGTCATTAAGAAATGCATGCAAAGTATTAATTCATGTAATAAAAATTTAATTATCTGAATTAATGAATTGTAATTAATTATAATTAAATGCAATAACATTTAAATTAAAATATTAATATAACATTTTAATTAAAATGTTAATTCTAACCAAGCAAAAAAACCGCCTTAATATTTTCAAGTACATTTTATTTTTGTTTTATAGGTTTCAGAAACATTGGCCAAAAGACTCTCTTAGAAGGTTATGTTTACGAACTGAAAGATAAGAGAAAGTGCTCAACAGTTTTATTTATTCTTAAATCTTCCTAGGACAATGACTTGAATGGAAATGTAACCTTATGGTTTTTTAATAAAAACGAACATCTGCAAATTATTTTTCTAACTGCTGAATTGATTCGATTGCAACCTCATTCTAAATGTTATTTTTGTTAGTAAAAGTACGAGGACAGAGCATTGTCTTTGGGTAATGGTACCCTCTATATTGTTTTCCTACTATCTTTTAGGGAAGAAAAAACATCATAGCAACCATTTCAGTAGACCTCTTGGATATTTGACTGATGCTAAGCAGTCATGTGTTGATCTTCTGAAGCACAAGCTGTGGATGAAGTTGCAGAAGAATGAGGGAACCAACCTTGCAAACACTTTTCAGAACAACTTGGATCCACTACTAAATCTAAGCTTATGAGACGGGTCCTATCTTTACAATGAGATAAGGTAGGTAAATGCAGGCTAAGTAAATTTTTATTCGTGAACAATTTTGAAACAACTTTGAGCAAGTTAACACAGTCAAAGCAAATGTTTTTCATCTCCACAGATTTTTGCTTTTGAGAGAATATTTCCCTCCTGTTCAGCTGGTTCTAGGGAGAAACAGAGAGCATTCTGCTCTTGGCTTTGCCTCTATACTGTCACAAGGCTCTCAGGACAGAAAATTAGAAATAATATTTATATCTTAGAAATGAGAATCTGACTCCAGTGGTCCAAAGCCTGGCAGTAATGTCTGAAAAAATCAGGCATATAATCTGTTTGAGAGGGTTTGGTTTCAGATGCTGAAAGATGAACACATGATTGACTGACTGAAATTACTTTTGCCTGTAAGCACAAAGGAGGATAACATTATTGTCCAATTTTTGAGCTACTTTACTGGCACTTCACAAATCAAGTGGTCACACAGGTGTAAAGTAAGGAAGAACTAGAAATAACATGCGAATTTACGGTTAGGATCTTTTGGTGTTAGGATCTCATGATGTATTTTTCTAGAAGCTTTTCATAGTCTAGGCAACAAGACTATATATATACATGATTAAGAACAAGTTTGTGTTGACATAAAATATATTCATCCTAAGCAGTCACAATATGCAAGCAATGGGCAGACAGTGGGCAATGAAAGAAATAACAGAAAAGGAAGCAAAGAAAAGCCTTTCTCAACAGTGATACTTCTTACATGGAAAGCACATTGCTTACCTACAAACAGAAATCTGGCAGCACACAGATCTCTAAGCCAAACATTTGAATCTTTAACTAATAATCACTCAACCAGGACTTTGTGTAAGCTTCTTTTCTCTGTTCCTGGCTTTTATCTGTTGTTGTGTCTTTGTGTGAATACATGCATGCATATATGGACTAACTGTATTATAGCGTTCTCAGCTCTTTCTATTGGCTTTGAAAACAAATGTATCTTCATTTTGGGATGGTTGTCACACGCATTGTCTTCACTTTTTGTCATAGGCATAAAGAAAGCAGGTAGCCAGGAAAGCAGGTTGTGCAAATTTTAGAAAGATGCGTGTTACACACAGCCAGCTCCTACTATGCTATATTGAATCAGGAAGCCTGGTAACACACTTTCTCCCAAAGAAAGATGTAAAACACTTAAACAGTTGTGGGTTTTTTTCCTTCCAAGGCTGACTTTAGACATAAATGAAAGCAGCATTGGGTTGTTTCCACCCCTAAAAGAAGAGTGGCTTGTGCTGGCCTGCCAGATCTGCTCATATAGGCTCACATAGAGAGATCCAGGGATCTCTATCTGAACTCTCTGAAATACACCAAAGATTAACACTCAACCTGTAAAAACAGGAGCAAAACAACATCATTTCCCTGAAGCCTTAGCAGGATCTATAGTTGCAACCGGCAAAGACTTGTGCTAATGTGAAACAGCACAGGGAACTGATTTAACAAGTAAATTAAGTATTTTCTACACCTTGTATATATGCGAGTCTCTTTCCCCCAGGCAATGCTGTCAATGAATGCAATTGCAGTTCTGTCATGGCAGCCTCACATTCAAAAGGACCTTTGTCAGGGAGAAAATGTTAGGGTTTTCGGGCAAACTGTAACAGCAGGTCAGTGCCTGCGAGCCCTCAGACTAATTACTGGCAAAACAGCATTTGAAGATTTAGCTCTAGTTTGCACTTTGCTTGTTCTCTGCCCATTAGTAAGTAGCTAAATAGAGTTAATAGGCGACTTGCAAGGTCGCTACAATAACTTTTGCAACAAAGTCTGGTGAATTCTTGCACATGGCACCAAATGAATGAACCTGACTGCTGTGAAGTGTACAGCTTCAGCTCCTTCGCACAGCTTCTCAGATTCTCTCTGTGCAGAACTACATATTGAACTACATATGTTGAGCCCCACGGCTCAACAGTCAATATTCATTTGAAATGCTTTGCATTTAGGACTTGAACTTTGAGGTGAAAACAGGTAGGCTAGAGAGAGAAAAATACTGACTTTTGCTAATAATTAGGAGCTGATATTTTCCCCCCAAATTTATGCATTTGAAACCAATCATTGTTCAGCAATACAACCATGCTCCATGAGATTTCTTTCTACAAACACTCAGATATCTCAGGTTAATATTTTCAGCACTTCTCTCTGGTGCACACGGATTTGTCAGGAAAAAAATGTAAACTGTGATTCCTACATGGCTAGTAGCTGCGTTAACCAATTCAACCAGCGTCATAATTATGCAATTAGTAATCTATTGTGCTTGAGTCAGTCCCAAATAATGTGACAATTTGTAGCTTGTTTGGGTAGTTTGCATAATTAACCCAACACATGTTTTAAATTTTATCTTTTCTCATGAAGTTGCAACAATCTGTAAACGAATAATTTCTGAATGAAGACCAAAAATTCTCAAATATTTTATTAAATCGTTGGCAGAAAATTCTCACAAAAAATCAACAGAGGGGAAAAAATCACCCTGGCTTTGCCTGTATCAGTCTCTAAAGTAGTCAAAACCTCCCAGTAAAGAGATGTTGAAGTCACAAAGAAAATGTTGGCAAATGGCTCTGCAGAGGTGGCATGAAACATTACCAATTATTTAAAGAAGAAAATGTTCATCTATGGATATAATCAGATATTAAGTATTTTTTTCCCCATTTATTAATTTATTTGTTTGTTTATTTTTATTTCTAAAGGAAATAGCAGAACTACAAGAAGCACCAGGAAATGGGATGAAGATTTATCAAATCATGAAAGACATAGGGAAAGCAAACACAGGATGATTATTCCCTTTTCCTTAGCACAGATGAAGTAGTCAGGAATCAATCAAGTTACCAAGGAGCAGGCTTAAATTCACCACAAGGAAATACATTTCCAACCACTCCAAATGGTCCAAAGCCCACCTTGATTATAAAAAAAAAAAAATTAAATGATCAGTGCCACAATGTTTTAATCTTCTATTTTACTTAAACATAACAGATGATATGCAACTTGTGGCTCAGGTTTTCCAAACCTGGAGAGGTTCCTGAAAGTCTTTCAGGTACTCCATGCACTATTGCTTTTACCCTTCCAATGGTTTTCGGTACTGCCCATATCAGAACATAAGGTATCAGGCTGTATGGACCATTATGGAGAGCTCTTGAGAGTGACAGCCCTGATGTAGGCACTGTTATAATTAAAGGCTTTAGCAGTAGAACTTACCCTGTCTGGAGAAGAATACAAAGCCAAGCTAACACGGAGACCTCAGAGCTGCATCTCCAGTAGAGCTATTCCTCACAATGTTGCTGAAAGAGTTTTATAGCATAGACTTAGTCCATGTTTCCATGGTCATGGTAATGTGAAAGAACTACCAATTAATGTAAGCTGGCATCCATATATTCAGAAGAGAGTTGACCTACAAGCCTGTCCTTTCCTTATAAGTGAGTTCATCCAAAATAAGAACAGAAACAGTATTATGCATTTCTAAGTGATCACAACTAACATTTCATATGTGGAACTCGTCATTCCCTAACTATTTGATCAGACTTGAAAAAGAGCTTGAGCTCAAATAAAAATCCATTCAGTCCATTTGTTCTACAGACAACAGCCACCAGCCATGAATTAAGTTTGTGAGCTCTAACTGAAGTCCTTTATTTAAATAAGCCATGAAACACATTCTCCAAACCACAGGAGCAGTCACATAGGAATCAAACATGCTTGCTCCTACACTACCACAGCAGCCTGTTTTTGCCTGCAGACTCCTTTGTGCAATGAGAGAAGTCTGCACAAGAGAGAAGTGGCTATGCTTGCACATGTGTACCTTGTTCTCCAAAATATTAGAACTAACCACATGGTTTTGTGGTGAACTCTGTAGAGTTAATTGGAAATAAAAAGACTGAGCCTCTCTCAAGACCTTCTAGGAAGTTCTTCATTTAAAATGTCTTATTTTGTTGTTTACTTAAAGAGCTTTTAAGAAGATACTGCCTTATCTGAAAGAGCTTGATAATGAAAGTTCTTTTAACCAATTCCTTCAATCAGCTGCAAACATATTCTAGCTTATCTAGTCAATGGATTCCACATTTGGGTTGCAAAACCCAGTGCCGAAATGTAAAAAAATAACAATAATTTAAAAAAAATCAATGCACCATATAAAAAGTATCTCAGGAGCAAGGTAAGCAGCTCATGAATGCTGAAGACTGTCATGCACCATATGGTACGGTTCTTTAAGTCTGCACAGAGCACTTACGTAGTGTTGGTTAATCTCCAAAGTGCAATATAAAAGCAAAGTTGTCCAGGTGCTGCCAGGCACAGTAAGGAAAGCAGCAGCCAGAGACCTTGCTCACAGGCATACATACACATCAATGTCAGTGCTGCCCTGGTTTCTTCCTGCCAGCCTTCATAATTCCACTATTTTCCTCATACAGGATGTTAGGAGAAAGCAAACACCACTACACACCTTTGTGCACCCATGAGCTGCATAAGCAGTGCCACAGGGTGCAGGAGAACAAAGCTTGGGCTCTTGTAGAGAAGCCTGAGCTGCTTTCAGACAGATTGGGGTACAAGGTGGAAAAAGCTCCTCAGAAAAGCATTCTATTGCATGCACAAGAGAGCAGTAGAAAGTATGGTGTGACAGCGTGGAATTAGATATACCCAGTGCCTCCTACAAACATGACCCAAAGCTTCCTTTCCTGATTCAGTTTGCACCCTGGCCTAACTCTTTGTCAGGGCTTTTCCCCCAGGCACGTGGGTTTCATACCCCACATTGCATGGCCCTCAGCATGAGGGAAGCAAAGCTACTTTGTTGTTCAGATTATGCCAGTGCAACTCATTTTCTGACGTAGGAATGTATCTGTAGGAACGTATCTATTCCCACCAACCATTAAAAAAAAAAAAAAAAAAAAAGTTATTTTTTCGGTACATAACTGTAAAAAAATTATTTCTGCATCTTGGGTAAAGACTGCATTTACCAAAGAAGCAGAAGACCGTAGATGGTGGCTGGAACTGCCAGCCTACGTATTTGCTCTTGGGCACGAATTAATTTCACCAAGAGTCACAAAATCCCCATAGCAAGCAGTAGAATGATGGTGCCATTGAGATTTATGGGTACTTTATTCCTTAACTGCCTTCCTTCTTCTAACTCCAGGCTGGATTTTGACCTCAGTAGGGTGTGCTGTTTCTGCTGACAGCATAGAAACCCATGCACAGAAAATGTCACACTGAGCTGAAAAGAGGCCGCACTTCTCCAGCACTTGCTTACATAGATTTTGTTTATATTTTTTCCAAATTACCACATCAAAGGATGCACATTTTTCTTCTTTGCTAAGAAAGGACAGGATGAGGTGGAAACTTACTTTGAGGACTCTACCACAAACCAGTTTGATGGGAGCTTCCTGCCTCCTTGGTTTAGCTCATGGAATAACAACCTCTAAGGCCACCACATCATCCCTTCCAAAGAGCATCACAGTAGGTTTGCCAGGCACTCCAAACAAAGATTCTTCCCTTTTTCTCCTTTTCTTTTCTTAAAAGCTGAGCATCTATCCACTTCAGTCTAGGACTTCATGTCTACACCCTTCCAGGCATTTGGTAGATACCCTAGTTCCACAGGACTGACCTACAGCACTTTAGCGGGACTCTATGCTACCAAAATCCAGCTGGGTTAGGTTTCAAAGCAGGATAGAATAGTACCAACAACAACTACAACAAAAAATCCTGCAGAAGCTGGCAATAAATTATAAGGTCACATAAGGAAAGGGTCCTGCAAAGAAGAGCAGTTTAATTTCCTGTGTGGGTAAGTGCATGAAAAAAGCTGAGGAAAGATTCCTGAAAGAAACTAATGGTACAAGTAAATGTCAAGCTGGTTCAGAAACTTGTCGTTGCTGTCCATGTTGTCTGTATGTCTTTAAAAATATGGCAGTCCTTCAGCAGACAAGGAATCAAAATTAAGCTCCATCTCCAACAAGACGAAAAGGGTGGCTGCCACCAGCCTGCAAGGCTGGCCCTTCGGTTATTTTTAGCCAGCACTGCATTGCTGGTGGATATAACGTTATAAATAAATCAGCAGACTTTTCTAGCAAAGAGTTTCCAGGAGTGAGCTGCTTTGCCTTTGTGACCATGCAGGATGTGACCCTGCTGCTGCACCAGCACACTTTGGACAAGCCCAGGCACTGTCACCACTGCAGTTACCATGTGGGTCCCCACCATGCCCAGCCAGTGGGACTGGCTCTGCTGGCATGGCCAGGAGCTAGGGGCAGAGCCCCTTGCCTGTGCATTCCTGAAGCAGGAGCTGGCATTAGCTTGCAGCCATCCCAGCCACGCAGCACAGTGCTGCCCTGCCACTTGCAGCCATCCACAGCCAGCGCCCTGCATGCCTTGTGCAGGATTTCTCCCGTGAGCTAACAGAGGCTGAATCAACACAGTTATTTTTTATATTTCACAAATTATTTACATAACCAAAATAAAATAAATCTTGTATGGAGGAATCTTCTGCAAAGGGTGAAATCTCTAGTTCGTTCACAGCAGTGAAATCCATGGAGCTAAGCCAAATTAGGCCAGCTGAGTTTCTGTTTCTTCATGTTTAAAGATGGAGGTAACGACCTGATCCAGAACTTTATGATACAAAAACACTTTGTAATGCAAAACAGACCAACACCATGCAACTGTTCCCAACATTGTTCTTATTTCCAAAGCAGACATTTAGAAGAGTGCAGCACAGCAGTGTGACTTCAGAAACCTTTATGAGAAGAAAACACAAACAGAAAATAACCATTAATGTCTAGGGTAATTTCCAAAACCTCTTTGGTAATTTCCTCTCCCCTCCTTTTTACAAATATGGGAACAGTTAACCACTCAGGAAGAACACTGTAAATTTGGAAATCTGAATAATTCCCCTGTTAGAATCGTCCCACATTAGAACAAAGATTTTTTTATTATTTTTTTTAATCCAGTGAAGGATAAACATAATATTTTGTGTGGTGAAATACAAAACAGGTTTTTTTTAATCCCCTTTTTAGTCAGATGAGATTTTAAATAGCTCTTAAAAAGTGTCATGTAACAACCAGGCTAGCAGCACTGCAATGAAAACTGAAGCAGATCTGCAGATCTTTCTGACTTTTACACAAAGCACAGCAAGAACAGAGACACAGCTCACCAGAGAGTAAATCTTACATTTCCTTTGTGGGATGAAAGGACTTTGCTACAGCTACAAGAAGTCAAAATCCTCTCTCTCTCTATGCAGCACAAATTGTTTCAGCTTTAACACATCAAGGAATAAGTTTGTGTTCAGTTGTCCACATCCTCTTAGCAACTGGAATGTTTCATCCGGAGGAAAAATTCTTTTTTGACCAGTGAAATCCATGGGCAACATAATAAAAAAAGGTGGCATTTCCACACATTCCTGCATCCATATCCACATTATTTCATTCATATCTATACAGCTGTTGTATTTTGGGAAGCTAGAAAAACAGATCCGTGTTCTGGATGTAGATCAAACATCATTACTACAAGCAAAACCAGGCACTCCATCCCATTAAAATTCAGCAGAGGTGATATATCAAAAATCTTTCATACTGCTGTGAAAATGTACCTTCAGGGAAGCTGGATCCTTTTATAGGCATAAGGAGGATTTTTCATAAAAATCTTACTTAAAGGTTATTTTTACAACTGAAAATCCTTCTGTGTTCACATGAAATGACTGTGTTTTGTTCCATCCTGGAGACAAAAATTGCAGGACAGACCGATAGGTTCAGACAACATTAAAAGTGGATGACAATTTATCTACTGGGAGAAATCCAGCAAGTTATAGACTTGTTCACTAGCCCCAGACTAGAACCGCTCATAAATTACAATACTTAAAAACTGGAGTTAAAGCTCAGATATTTAAAAGTCTGTTTTGGAAATATTTTGTGTACACTGAAAATTTTGGATTGGATTCAAAAGTTGCATTTGAAACGACCATCTCCTAATTAAAACAGTACATTGCTAAGCGTTTGCTTCGTATCATACTCAGGCAAATTTTGTGTACAAACTTTGTTTAGTTAGAGGGGTACAGGAAAATTTCCTCACAATTAATTTTCACTGCAGTGAACATCTAAACAGTGTTATAGCCTCATGTTTCCTTCAACAGCGTGATCAAACAGACATACAGATACTAAAGGTCGGGGCATAGTTTATTCAATCTCTTCCAGATTTTTGGCTGCACGATTCTATAAAAACTGGGCTGATTCTGAACGGGGTTTCAGTGTCTGCATCACTCAGAGTTGGCCAAGGCTTTAACAAAAACTTGTGGATAGAAAAAATATTCACACGCCATGTAGAGGTGTTGAAGATTTTTTTAGTAATGAATTTCCTTTAAAAATCAATGCCCAAGTTCCCTGTAAGAAATAGAGAGTCTGAGGATTTTTAA